GCACGCTCCTCCAAAGCCCCACTCCGGCGCCCCACCCTTGAGTCTCCTTCAGGCAGCACCAGCCCCCGACTCCGCTGTCCTCAGGGATCACAACACTGCTGCACCTGCTCCTTGGGACCCAGGACCAGTGTCCCATGGGTCCCCGGGACACGGTCAGTGCTGGCCTTGGGTCTGTGGCGGGGAGGAGGGCGGAGAGGTCTCGCCTTGACAGGGTGGGGTTCTGGAGGCTGGCGGGGAGCTTAGCTTGTGCCCTCATTCCCTGGCTCCCCATTTTTCCATGTCCTATTTCAGAGGTCACCCTCAGACCCCAGAGACAGGGCACGTGAGGGGTGATGCAGGGACCGACCCTGGAAAGGGGGCCCAACGCCCTCTGGGGACAGGATGCACGGGGGTGTCAGTGGGGTGGGTGGGTTCTCGGGGCTCACTCGTCCTTGCGTTCAAAACTGCACAGGTGTGGCTCATGTTCCGAGACACGTCCCAATGTTCCGTAACAAAACGCCAGCCGACGTGGTAGCAGGGCCACGAGCAACAGGTGCCTGGGCCTCAGGGCAGCTCCGGGCACCCGGACCCTCAGGGCACCAGGCCACAGCCCTGGGAGGGCCCTTTCGAGCCTCTTGGCTGGGCTCGAGGCACCGTGGCCTCCACAGCCCTGGCAGGTGCCTGGTTGGCCCCTCCTGGGGTCACCCGCTGCCTGCCCATCACTGCGGTGGGCAGGGCAGGGTCTGGCTGCGCAGGAGGACTCTTGGGACCTCCCTCAGGAGGGGGTACTGGGCTGGGGTACCCGGGTTGCTGATGGGTCCTGGGTGGGATGGGCAGCCTTTTGACTGCCTTCTCTCCACGGGCCTGCTTGGTGGTCTTCTGAGTCCAGGCAGGTCCCTGGGGCCAGGGCCCCGGAAAGGAGGGAGGCTGGCAGGGATGAGTAGGTGCGGCAGTTCTGAGAGGTCACAGGGCTTGCCCGGGGTTGCTGGCCGGTCCCACGTCCTGCTGTCCGCTGGGGGACGGCGGTGGGGTGGAGGTGTCCTCCCAGGTTCCCACTGGTGGTTTAGAGCCAGGACACACTTCCTGCCAACCAGACTGGGTTAAATTAAACCCACCATGTCTATGGTGGGTTTTACGATGTTCATTTGGACATTCAGAAATGATGCCTCAACTTTGTAGAAAGAAAATCATAGGATGCAGGCAGAGTTAGGATGCTGGATTCTTCCTCACATGGCCACGTGTTGGGCCCGTGATGGGCCTCCTGGGCCGGAGAGGGACAGCCTCCTCCTCCAGCCCCTTCTTGTGGCTTCTGGTTCCCATCTGAGATCATGGAATATCAGCTTAGATTTTTAATTCCAGGGCAAATGTTACCATAGTGGGTTTTATGACACACCCTCATCATATTTAACTAGTGGCTTTGTGCTCCCTGGAGACAGGATCAAACTTCTAAAAAAACCCAATATTTTTCCCTATGATAAAAGTAACACAAGATTGTTGTCCAAGTTGGGGAAAAAATATAAAGAATAAAAATTACCCGTAATTCTGCCACCCAGAGTGAAGCAATTACTATCTTGATGTGATGTACACACTTGGACTCCTACCAGCTCGGACCACGTGTTGTGATGCAGAGTTTCAGAGCTGCTCTCTGGCTGAGTGCTGCTGGGCCCAATATGGAAAGGGGACAGCCGGGAGTGTCAGTGACCTGCGTGGCCGTGGGGTGGACACCAGCACCTGGGCTGGGCAGCCTGGTGTCTCTTCTTTTTTTTTTTTTTTTAACATCTTTATTGGAGTAGAATTGCTTTACAATGGTGTGTTAGTTTCTGCTTTATAACAAAGCGAATCAGCTATACGTATACATATATCCCCATATCCCCTCCCTATCCTACCCCTCTAGGTGGTCACAAAGCACAGAGCTGATCTCCCTGTGCTATGCGGCAGCTTCCCACTAGCTATCTATTTCACATTTGGTAGTGTGTATATGTCCGTGCCACTCTCTCACTTTGTCCCAGCTTCTCCTTCCCCCTCCCCGTGTCCTCAAGTCCATTCTCTACATCTGCATCTTTATTCCTGTCCTGCCCCTAGGTTCATCGGAAACTTTTTTTTTTTAGTATGTGTTATACTAAAATATATATATGTGTTAGCTTACGGTATTTATTTTTCTCTTTCTGACTTACTTCACTCTGTATGACAGACTCTAGGTCCATCCACCTCACTACAAATAGTTCAATTTCGTTTCTTTTTATGGCTGAGTAATGGTGTCTCTTCTCGACCCCAAACAAATAATTTATCCCCCCGAACATGCCTCGGAGTAGGTCCAGATTTTTTGGATGAGGCTCTCTGACCTTGGTGACAAGATTCAGTAAAAACATATAGTTGTTTGTTATCTGCTTTCCAAAGATGGAGTCCCACATGGATTTTTCTCCCGGTTTTTGTCTATGACTGCAGTCAGGCAGTTTTTCCAGAGAAAACTACCCCTGCTCCCACCGCCTCATAGCCTCCTGTCTCTCTCTGACCTCAGCCTTCCTCTGGCCCCATCTGCATGAGGGTAAGCTGCTCAGGTGCCGTCCGCATCAGGAGGAATCTGCTGTGACATTATGGGGACAGGAACAAAATTGGAACGTAGACTGTGGGTTAGATTGAGTATCGTATCTGAACTGGATTTAGTGAGTGGGGTAACTGCCCTGAGATTATGTAAGAGAACGTCCTTGTTCTTATGAAACACACCGAGTGTTACCTGGTAGAAGGACACCGAATGCGGGGCTTACTTTCACATGCTTCAGAGGAGCTAAGTGTATGTATAGGAAGGCCAGAGATACAGAAGTGCGGTCCAATAGTACTTTGTACTATTCTTGCAACTTTAAGTTTGAAAAATGTTCAGAATGATAAATGTAAAAAGAAACACTGTGAAAGAACAAAACAACCCACAAACCCACAACCGTGCACATCCAGCCCTTGTAATTCCACCCTGCGGGCCAGCAGTGGTCCTGGATGTAGAGTGGGCCTCACGTCTGTGGAAAGCCATCCGCCCCCCAGCTGGTTATGCTGACTGTTGCCTGTTTTGGAGCTTCGTACGGACGGAAAAGTGAAAGCCACCCCGCTTGTGTTCTTTTGCGGCCGCTTCCCACTTATCCCTCCTAATGGTGACTCTTGGGCTGCATCTCGCCTGCTGATGCTGTAGCTGCCCCGCCCACCCTCCCACCCCCCCGCCCCCCGCAGGATGGGCCACAAGAGTGCTTGCTGCGTTGGATGTGGAGGTGAAGGAGTGAGGGAGGGAGCAAGGGAGGGTGCGAGGGTCTGTCCCGAACGCCCGGCCCCTGCCCTGCGGTTCTGCCAGAGCCCTCCCAGGGCCAAGGGGCCTGGCAAGACAGATGGGAGCCGGGTGGGCAGCTCAGGGAGGTGTTACCATCTCCGGGAGGCTTGAGTGCTCATCCTGAGAGGAGGGAGAGCCAGCTGGATGCCCCAGGTGTTCCCAGAGAGATTCCTGTCTGCAGGCATGACTTTCCCGTTCAGGAGAGGCACATGTGTGTTTCCAGGTATGTCCGTGTTCAGGACTGTCCTGATTCTCCCAGCCTCTGTCACATGGCCCAGGGAGAGCTGACCACACACTAGCCAGCGGGCTCCCTTCCTGCGGGAGGACCTGTTGGTGGCTGGGTCCTTTCCCCCCAGGCAGAGGCAGGGATGGGCTGGCAGGTCTGAGGAGCCCTGCCGAGTGGCTTTACTGCTTCTGAGGACAGTCTGTAATTAGCACATTGTGTCCCGCTAGTGAGGGCTGTCAGGCGTTCCCTGGTGAATCAGGCGGTCCTGTGGTCTTGTCTGGTGTATTAATGTCCTCCCCAGGCCCCTGTGCAAGGGGGCCTGTGCAAGCAGCGGCGGGGTGGGGGGGTCCCAGGCCCCGAGCACCCCCTCCCCAGTCACTTTCCGCCCTGGAGCAGCTGCCATCCTGAATCCCCACCTTTCTTCACTGTCCGGCCACCCGTGTGCCCGGTGCCGTGCGTGTCGGCCTCCATGTGAACGACGCGCGGTTTGGGTCCTCCTCCGTGAGTGGCTTTTTCCACTTGGCCTCACGTTGGGAGGTTGGGGTGATGTGCACACGTTGATGGGTATATTCTGTTGTGTGATTTATTTCTGCCTTCTCTCAGTGGAAATGTGTTTTTTTAAATTTTTTACTGTGACAATCTCCATCAGCTTTTAAAATCCTCCTGGCACCTCTGTTTGAAAGATAAAATTTCTGGCTGATAAGTTGCTTGGTCCTTGGGGGGGGGTGGCCTCTGGAACTGAGGTCCTGTGCCTCTTGGGGATGGGTGCAGGGACACAGGGCTGGAGGGGGGAAGGGACCAGCAACAGTCTTACCCGGGGTGACTTCTCTCTGAGGCTTTGACTCTCCTTCCTGCTGACGTTGCAATGAACACCAGGGCCCGTCAAAATTCAGGCCTGTGTTTTGTAGGTTTGTGCGTAGGGGTGGGGGTCAGGTCGAGCATCCTTTGCCCAGATGTCCAGCCAGAGGCCGGCCCAGGCCCATGCTGACCCGCAGCGCTGGTTGGACGCCCCCAGCGGGCCGACAGCCCTGCTCTGCCAGCCCCTCAGCCGCTTCTGAAGAGCAAATTAGGCCTCAGCAGAAAGCTCTGCAGAGTCTGGAATTAGGACAAATTAGTGAAGATTGAATTGGTGCTGTCTGTTCTGTTGCTGAGAGATGGCATTTTCTCTTCCTGAATCACCTGGGGAAACTTTTGGCCCCGAGTGAGCACCGCTCCCATCTCCCATGGGCCTCTCACCCCAGGCACTGGGCAGCCTCTTCCAGCTCAACACTGCCAGCCAGGGATCGGGATGGGGGTGGGGGGCACAACGTGACGTGTCCCCTGGGCAGGCAGCAGTCACCCGGGTGGGCACTGAGGGAGGTGGTGGCTAGGTCCTCCTGGCCGTGAGTCTCGTGGTTGGCAGTCTGTCCAGTATGCAGTCGAGGGGCACAGGGTGTCACTGGCTGCAGGGCCACAAGGTGATACCGTGTCCCTTTTTGTCCCCAGATCACCAGAAGCTGGAGAGAGAGGCTCGAATCTGCCGTCTTCTGAAGCATTCCAACATCGGTGAGTAGCCCTCGGGGTAGGGGTCCCAGCTCTCCCATACAGCCAGCAGGAGGACCCCAAAGGCGTCCGTCCCTTTCCTTCTCCATTGAAGTATCCCACCCTCAGGCCCCTGGAAACATCTCCTCCTGACCCGGAGGGATTCCTGCAGGAACTTTGGGGCAACCCTCTGGGGGAGGTCAAGGCTGGACTCCTCCTGGACGGGTCCCTGCCCACCACTCTGTAAGTCTGATCCATGATTCTGGTGAAAACACACAGGGGCCTCACGTTCCATGGCTTCAGAAAAGCCACAAGACGACCTGATTACAGAGAAAAAAGTTTGGAAACCGAAGACCACATGAGGCACAGCCCCAGCCTGAGGTCTGAGGCCTGAGGCCTGAGGTCTGAGGTCTGATTCTGGAGAACCTCTGCCGTCCCCCCAGCCCGGGGCCCCTGGAACTGCCATCTGGGGCGGGGATCATCTGCCCCTTGGGGGCACGTGGAGCCCCAGGAGCCCAGGTCTTGGCCTCAGGGAGTGTGGGTGCCCTGCCCACGGTAGGCCCCTTCCTTCTGAAACCCCAGACTGAGTAGGGACTCAGTCCAGACACAAGCGTAGGAGCTGCTGGGACCCCAGACCCCGGAAGCTGGTGCAGATCTCCCGGGGCCTGTCAGCCTCCGCCTGCCCGCCTCAGCCGTGAGCGGCCCCTGTCCGCGCAGCACAGCTGCCTGTCCTTCTGCACCTCTGGTCCCTTTAGGGACTCCTGAGGAACCCAGGACCCAGCCCTTGACCACACCGGGAAGCAGCCGGGTGGCACGGGGGGAGGGCGGGCCCACGTTCTCAGAGGCACCCAGGGAGCTCATCAGGGAGGATTCCTGGGCACTCTTGCCCGTGCGCTGACTCAGTTGTGCTGGGATGGCGCCCAGGACTCTGTCTAAAAGGGACGCCAGGCTGTGCTCAGCAGTCATGTCCGTGCCACTCCCAGGGCAGGGCCTCGGCCGCAGGGCCAGGAGGGCCGCAGTGGGGCTTGGGAGCTGCTGCCTCCCTGGCTGTGGCCCCTCCAGGCCGCTGGCTCTTCTGCAGCTGGCCCAGCCCGGGCACAAAGCAGATCTCCCGTTTCTGGGGGGTCCCTTGGTGTCGGCCCCAGGGCTGCTGCCGCCCCTTGTGCCTGGGCCCACGGACTCTCACGGCTGAGACTGTTGGAATCACGGTGCACAGATTCCCGACCTGCCCCTGGGAAAGCCTGGCTCGGAGGCCTAGAGCGGGCCCAGGAATCGGAATCTGAGCCAGCCTGATGGGTGATTCTGAGGTGGGAGTCCACAGGGACCCCAGCCCCCTCTTCACTGGGCTGGGGTTCGTTTGGCAAAAGGGCTGTTGCCCCTCTGCCTGTCCAGGTCCAGGCGCCCGAGGACCCTCTCTCTTGGTGCTCCTGGCTGGTGCCACCGCACCGCCAGCTCTACCCACACCCCTTCCCATGCCAGCTCCCTCCCCTGTGTCCGCTGAGCGCCCATCAAGTGTGGGTCCCCCATTCTGAGTGATTTTCAGGAATCCTCTTACTAGAGAGAAGACCCAGGTGTTCTTGGGTTGGTGTTCGGGGCCAATTCTTCAACAAGAAGCCCCCCTGCCCTGCCTGCATACCCCGTGTGGCTCTGGGTGCGTTCCGAGTGGTCCCTGGAGTCCGCCTAGGGGGCTTATTCTAGAACACAGGGGAGGCAGAGCTGAGACTGTGGGGTTCAGCTGAACATTCTCTGTAGACTCAGGAGGGGCTCTCTGAGGAGTGAGTAGTGGGGGAGACTTTTGGGGGAGGTGAGGGGAGCCCCTTGCTCCGTGGCCTGTGTCTACCCAGCCCCATCTCTGAACAGAAGTGTTCCCAGCCCCTCACCCCCGGGAGAGGAAGCAGGACCACGTTCAGTTAGAGGCGGGGTAGGGGCTCTGGGAGGGGCTCCTCTTCCTGTCCTGGCTCACTCAGGAAGCAGTTGTGCTCAGGGCGTGGGCAGGGGAGGAGCTTCAGTTTGCCCGTCTGGAAAGTGGAGATGCTGCTACCTTACTCACAGGGACCCCCCTGAGAGGACCCGAGAGGGTTCCCCTGGCGAGCCGGGCGTGAGCTGTGAAAGCCCTCCTTTCCGAGGCAGTGTGCTGAGGTTCAGAGCTCAGAGATCTGGACTCGGACCCCACCTTTCCCCTCAAAAGCCACAGCAGCCACTGAACTGCTTTGAGGCACAGTCTCCTTGTTTGTGGACTAGGCGTGTTTCACAAGTGTGTCAGCCGTCCAGGCTTGGCAACTAAGTACCCCAAACGCAACCAACAAGCGTTGATCCTCTCTGTTTCTGTGGATTCAAGAGCAGTTCAGCTGGGCGATTGGGGCGGCCACCTAATTTGTGGGATCGGTGCAAAATGAAAATGTGGGGACTTTTTTCAAAAATTATTATGAATTTCAAAACAGCAACAGCAGGGCAGGGCCCTCTTGAGCCTGGGGCCTGGGGCAGCTACACAGGTGTCTTGGCCATGAGCTGGCCCTGCCCAGGGCTCCAGAGACAGAGACAGAGACAGACAGAAAGAAAAAGAGAGACAGAGAGAGGCCGAGACAGAGATTGAGACAGACAGACAGAGACAGACAGACAGACAGAGATGGAGAGGGAAGGAGAACAAGGAACACAGTGCCTTTTCTTCCCCAAATTGTGGTAAAACATACGTAACAATATTTATCAGTTTAACTATTTTTAAGTGTACAGTTCAGTGGCATTAAGTACATTCACAATGTTATGTAACCATCGCCCTCATCTGTACTCAAAACTTTTTCATCACCCCCAGGGGAAACTCTGCATTCATTAAACACTACCCCGCCCCCACTGCTCCCAGCACCTGGCACCCACCATTCTACTTTCTGTCTCTATGAATTTGACACCCTGGGAACCTCATCGATGTGGGGACCATACAGCATTTGTCTTTTGGGAACGGGCTTATTTCACTGAGCCTGATGTCCTCAAGGGTCATCCGTGTTGTAGCAGGTGTCAGAATTCCCTTCCTTTTTAAGGCTGAATAACATTCCACTGTATGTATGTTCCACATTGTGTTTATCTCTTCATCCATCAGTGGAACTTGGCCTGTTAGCTGTCGTGACTAATGCCGCCATGAACATGGGTGTCCAAGTCTCTGCTTTCAGTCCTTTGCGGGTATACCTCGCAGTGGATTCTTGGACCATATGGCGGTTCTGTGTTTAATTTTTGAAGTTATGATCCAGTCTGGGAGGGGTCAGGCTGTCACCCTGCCTTATTCTGTTTGTTTGGTGGAGGAGCCAAGCTCCCCTCTTAAAGGAGGCCCAGCAGAGGGTGTGAGTGCTTCTCCCCATCAGCACGACGGCAGTGGGGGCTGCTGGTTGGGCTGTAGCATTAGGAGCTGGTACCCGGAGTCAGGCCCCCGGGTAGAAGCTCCCCTCCCAGGGGCTTTAGTTTCTGTTCAGAGACCAGGGGACACCTGGGCAGAGGAGACAGGTGTGGGCCGGCCTTGGCAGTGTGGGCCCGTCCCGGGAAGCAGGCCCGGGCGTCTGGGGACGGGCATGACCCGCAAGGGCCCTGCTGTGGGCCATGCCCTCCACAGACACGTCTGCGCTGTACTCGACTGTCCATGAGGTTGGCTCCCTCCACCCGGGGCCTCAGGAATCCCCTCGTCAGCGCATGTTTACGGACACCGACCCCGTGCCAACGGGAGACTCGGCCGAGGGCAAGGCTGCCTCCACCCTCACCTCACTGGTGGGCTGTAGCCACCTCAAGAGGTTGCTGCTCAGCACGTGAGGGTGTCCCAGACTTCCCACGCTGCCCCCAGGGACTGTGGGTGACAGAGATTAAGCAGTGCCCGTGGCAGGCAGAATCTTCCACAGCCTTGTTAGAATGGGTCCCATCGGGCAGTGAGCAGAGCCCGTCAGCCTTGACTCAGAAGGCAGCCCCCAGCCTACCTCCAGCCTCCCTTCAGCCTCCCTCAGCCTCCCTCAGCCTCCTTCCAGCCTCCCCTCAGCCTCCTTCAGCCTCTCTCCAGCCTTCCCTCAGCCTCCTTCCAGTCTCCCCTCAGCCTCCTTCCAGCCTCCCTCAGCCTCTCTCCAGCCTCCCCTCAGCCTCCCTCAGCCTCCTTCCAGCCTCCCTCAGCCTCTCTCCAGCCTCCGCTCAGCCTCCCTCAGCCTCCCCTCAGCCTCCCTCAGCCTACTTCCAGCCTCCCCTCAGCCTCCCTCAGCCTCCTTCCAGCCTCCTTCCAGCCTCCCCTCAGCCTCCCTCAGCCTCCTTCCAGCCTCCCTCAGCCTCTCTCCAGCCTCCCCTCAGCCTCCCTCAGCCTCCCCTCAGCCTCCCTCAGCCTCCTTCCAGCCTCCCCTCAGCCTCCCTTTAGCCTCTCTCTGGCTTCCCCCCAGCTTCCCCTTAGCCCCCCGTCAGCCTCCTCTCTGCACGCTGACCCTTTCTCTCCTGGGCCCGGCTCATTGGTGGCAAATTCCCACCTCCTGGTTTCTGGGGCTGGAACTGCCTTCCCTTGCAGGATGGTCCAGCCAGGAGCTGGGCGGGTGGGCACCACGGGGGACAATGGCCCTGCAAGGACTTCCTGCTGAGATGAGGAGGCCAGTGCAGGAGGGGAAGGTGAAAGGTTTCCAGTCTCCAAACGCTCAGGGCCCATGCTGTCACTCCTCAGCTCTTCCTTCCCAAAGCCCATCATATGATAGGTCGCAGGGCCCTGCCCTCCCTCACAGCACAAGGGACCAGGGAGGGGTTCAGGGACAGCTTTGGAAGGGCAGAAGGACCCCCCACCGAGAGGCCCCTGGCCTGGGACTCGGGGTCCTGTCCCTGGAGGAGCTGCGGCCCCAGCAGCAGGAGGCGCATCCTTGGGCTCCCCCGACCCCCTCATCCCCGTGACCCAGTGCTCCCAGGCCAGACTCTTTCAGGTATTACTGGGACTTCATCTGCCGCCTCTGTATGCCACCCGCAGTGTTATTTACTTACTGTTATTTAAGTAAAATAGATTCTATGACAATTCCTTTCCTGACTTAGTACTGCCTGTGAAATCACGGGTCTGATGTGCTAGGTAGGTTTTCTTCTAAACCATTAAAGTAACGCATAACTATTTTTTAAATGTTAAAACTGTTTAACTAAAAAAAGTGTCTATGCCCACGTGGCCTTGACTCCCATGCAGAACCCCCAGTGTCTCCCAGGGCGAGGCCCAGGGCCCTGCCAGCAGGACCTGGGAACCTGAGCCCCTCTCACCTGCTCGGGGGGCGGGGCTTGCGGGCAGGGTGGCCTCCACCAGGAGGAAGGCCCAGCAGCACCCCAGACTTATGGACCCCTGAGGCTCCCCTGGGGAAGGGGGATTCCCCTGCATGGGAGGAGAGAAAGGCCCCACGGTGGGGGGGGGGTTCCTCTGGGTCGCTGTCTGCAGGGCTGGCGGGGTGGTGGAGGGTGGACCTCTCCCCTCCATGCCGCCCCTCCACCCCAGGCCTTTCTTTGCTTGGAGTTCCAGGGGAGGCTGCTCGGAGGGGCCGATGTGCTGGGCCCCCCGCAGAAAGGAGTCAGCAGGGGGAGGGCTTTTGGTCCCTCAGGGATTTTACAAGAGGGGCCTCGAGGAGGTCGCAGTGAGCCGGGGGTCTGCTGTGTGTTAGGGAGTTGCAGACCCGCCCGGATGGAGTCGGGGTCCGGGCGCACCTGGGTGGGGTGAGGCTGGACGCCGGGCCCTTGAGCAGAGATCACAGTGAGCGATGGGAGGGGGGGATGGTGAGAGAAGCAGATGTGTGAGCCGAGGCGCCCCTGGAGCCACCCATGCCCCTTCTCCTTGGCGACCAGATGCCCTGACTGCTTGCGTCAGGGGCCTGCCCCCCGGGCGCCAGGCCGTGGCCGAGGTCACATTGGGGTTCCTGGTGTGAGGACGCTGCTGGCGGGGCCCTTGGGAAGCCCGGAGCTGGGAGAGGGGGGATGCTGGCCGCAAAGCTGGGAGCTAGGGCAGCTTCGAGGGCGTGAGTGAGGGGCTGTGGGCCCCGGGAGAAGCTCTGCTCTTCACCCTTTTGGTGCTGGTGGCCCCATCCCTCGTGGTGGTGGGGAGTGAGGCCTAAGGAGCTGAGGGGCGGAGCGGGCCGAGGCTGGTGGAGCAGCAGCTCTGTGGGGGCTCCGAGCCCCCGTCCACACTACTGCTTTGGCCTTGTGTGAGCTGTGTGACCCTCAGCCAGTAACTTACCCTCTCTGTGCACCTGTAACTTCTCGGGATGAGCACACCGCGGGCTCCTGACACAGGAGGCAGGATCCGTCACGTGGGGGGCAGTGTCCAAATGAGCCGTTCCTAGAAATACCTGCTGTTGAGTGCCGGGCGCGTCTTCACCTCGAGGAAAAGGAGGCACCGGGCTTGTGTTCTTTGTGCTGACATCCACTTCGCTGTTCACTCATTCATTCATTCCCTCATTCATTCATTCATCAACTCCTAACCAGCACGGCTCTGGCCGGGCCCTTGTTCCAGGCTCAGGGAGTGAAGAAAACGCACTAAAGCAGAGAGCGCGTGCGTGGCCTGGCACCATCCTACCGACCATGCCGCTTCTGGAATGGGAGCTCAGGGTCTGACCTTTGGAAGTGATGCCGCACGGGGCCCTGGGCAGGTGGTCCTCCGCCCGGGGGTCCCTGCCTCCTCAGCCTGGCCCGAGAGGCTGGCAATGGCGCCCTCCGCACTCCTCTCCCATGAAGCCCCTGGACGGCTCCTTTCCAGACCTGGTGGTGTGGGCCTTCGTCCCTGCACCGCTAGCCCTATCCCTGCTGCGTGTGGGAGCAGGGGACCCGGCGGGGGCTGAGAAGGGTCAGGGTCTCCCTCCGGCAGAGGAAAGGAAAGGCAAGACCACACCCCTGAGGCCCTTGGATACTGGCCTGGGGCCGGCCGGCCTGCAGGGCCCACGCTCACCCCTCGGGCTCTGCCTGCAGCATCCCCCGGGCCCTGCCCAGCCCGGGCTGTGGGAAGCCCCAGGCCTCGGCCCTCCTCCTTGGAGCGCTTGTGCTACTGGCCATGGGACTGGACGGGTCGGAGGCGGGCTGGGAGGCGTGGGTAGGCCCCGGGCTGCTTCCCACGCTCACGGCCTCTCCCATCCCCACAGTGCGTCTCCACGACAGCATCTCTGAGGAAGGCTTCCACTACCTGGTCTTCGATCTGTAAGTGCCGGAGCCTAGGGACTTGTGCTCTCATCTGCTCCCAGCATTGGGCCGGGCTGGGACCCTTGGTCTCCCCAGCCCCTGCGGGCAGTCCTCCGCCTCCCGGGTAGCCTCGCCCCCAGCCGCGTGGGCCAGCCTCCCTCGGCTCTGCTCTTAGCCTGTTGGCTTTGTGCTGGCTGGCGCACGGAGTCCCAGGGGGATGGGGCTGCCCGGCTGGTCCCCTCCCCCACACAGAAGGGCCTCCTGGAGGCTGGGGCAGAGGGGAGGGAGGGAGGGGAGGACCCCCGGAGGAACGGGCCCTCGGTCTTCCTTCCCCTTCCTTCCCCTGGCTGGGGCCCACCGGCTGGCGTGAGCATTTGCGTGTGTGCATGTGTGTGCAAGAGTGCCTCTGGGTTTATGATTGCGTGGATGCATTTGTGTATGTTGATGAATGGGCACGTGTGTGTGTGATTTGTGGGGGCGTGTACGTGCACGTGATTTGTGGAAGGGTGTGCACAAGAGTGCCTGTGTGTTATGAGTGCATGTGTGCGTGTGTTTATGAGTGTGCACGTGTGGGTTTCAGTGTGTGCATGTATGTGAGCGTGATTACATGAACACGTGTATGTGTGTGGTTTATGTGTGTGTGTGGTGTGTGTATGTGTGAGAACATGTGTATGAGTTGGGGTGTGGACATGCACATGTGTGTGTGTGCATGTCCATGGGTGCATGTGTGCACACACATGTGGCTTGTGGGTGTGCATGTGCACCCACATGTGCGTGTCTGTGTACACGTGCATATGATTTATGGGGTGTGCGCGTGCATGTGTGTACACATGTACACATGTGACTTGTGGGAGTGGATACACATGGGTATGTTGTGCATGTGTGTGCACGCATGCATGCGTGTGTGGCGCTAAGTGAGAGCGTCTGGGGCCTCTGCTGCCTCTCATTCCTGCTGGATTTAGAAGCGGTGATCTCATCCCCTCACTTCCCGACAGCTCCGGCTGAGTGCTGCTATGTTTAGCTGTCCGTGAGTCAGCACAGCTCGGGACCCTGGGGTGGGCAGGGGCTGTAGCTTTGGGGTGGCTCTGTGTGGCCTCCACGAAGCCCAGCCTGGGGGCTGTGGCCATGGGGGCAGGGCGTGTCTCCATGGGAGAGCTTCCCATCTCTCTCAAACGACAGATGCCTCGGCCATGGGGGCGTGGAGGCCTGAACCCCTGGCCCACGCGGGGTCCTTTGGCCAGGAGAGGCCTGCAGGGGCTGGGCCACCTCTCGGTCCCCCTGTGTCCCACAAGACACCACTTCAAGTCACCAGCCCGGTGACCAGGGCCGACCTGTGACACAGCTGCCGCTGCTGGGCCAAGGCTGTGCCCTGAAACGTCTGTCGCCTGGCCCCTGTGGAGGTGGCAAGCTTGCTGTCACCCCCGTGGGCCCCCAGACCCACCCAGTTCCACCAGCCTCTTTTCCAGGAAATACAGAGGCCCCCGGGCTGGAGGGTGGCCATGTACGGGCCCCTGGTGGCCGACAGGTGGGTGGGTATGTGTGATTCAGGAGTGGACGAGGTGGGAGAGAATGGTGTGCGTGTGTGTGTACGTGTGTGCACACTCGTGCATGTGAGTGCGTGCACGTGTGTGAGAGGGTCTTGAATCTGCTGCCCCACACAACAGGCAGGTGTGGGGAGAGGCTCTGAGCGGGGCTGGAGAGAGGAAACTGGCTGGTGTTTTTGGAGAGGGTGACGAGGAGGGGGGACCTGGGCCTTGCACATCCTCCCCTCAAACCTCTGTGGCCCCCAGGCCTGTTGAAACTCCCACTCTGCAGCATCCAGGACAGCCCTAGGCCTCAGGCAGCTGTTTGGGGGGAAAGGGAAGGCCTGCGCGGGGGGCTGCTGAGGCAGGGGTAGGACTGGAGGCGTGGAGATGCCACCCACCCTGCGCACAGCCCTCCTGTGCCACTCTGCATCCCCTCTGCCACTCTGTAGCCCCAGAACTGGGGAGACGTTTCTGGCCTGGGTTGGCCTCACCTTCAGGAAGCCCCAGACCCTTTGGCAGTTTGGGGGCTCTGTGGATTTGGAGATTGACAGGTTTCCCCGCTCCCCATGCCTCAGAATGTCACTTGGCTTTGGGGACCAGGCCTGGGAACAGAGGAGAGGGCTCTCCCAGGGGCTGTGGCTGCAGCCCAGAACTAGCCATGCTGTCTGGCTGGAGCCTGAGGAAAGGGAGAACACTGGCCTCCAGACCAGGCCCTTCCCGGCCAGCTCGAGACGCCAGCCCCCTGCAGCCAACTGCCTGACCTACAGCTCTGGACCACAAGGCCCCAGATGCACAGACTGAAGCCTCCTGTGGATGCGAGGACCCAGAGGGCCTGTCCCCGGCCCCAGGTGGAGCCTCGTGCGGGGGCTCCCTGTGCCCCTGCTACAGCCCCGAGCAATACCTGTGGCCTTTCCACCTCCGCCCTATGCTTGGACTCAGGGTCTGCAGAGCCTGACCTGTGAGCTGTGTGTGCAGAGAGAGAGGCAGTGAGTCCCACTCCCTTGGGCTGGACGTAGAACCTCATCCTCCCGCTTCACACACACACGTGTGCACACAGACGCATGAGGCTCTGCTCCCTCGGGCGGTCACCTGCTCTGAGCCTGAACCTCCGCGGGTGGCAGAGGGGGACCCTAAAAGCTCCCCCAAGTCCCAGGCTCGTTGGGAGCCTGACAGGATCTGAGGGCCAGCATCTAGCCTCGAGTGGGAGCACGCCAACACCCAGTGCATCCTCGTTTTTGTGTTTCTCTAACACTAAGAGGGAGCCTGCCCACGCCGGGGCCACTGTCCAGCAGGGCCCATGCCCGTGGTCGCTGAGTGCTGGGCACAAAATGGAGCTAACCCAAGCCCCAACTTCGAGAACTAATGGGAACTGAGATGCAAATGGAGAGATCACAGTGCATGAGGCCAGCGCAGCTGCAGGTGGAGAGAGGGTGTGGCTGCGGAGGGAGTGTCCCTCGGTGTCCCCACAGGACACAGGAGGGAGACTCTGGACCACACAGGGGTACAAAAGCCCTAGATGGAGACTTCCGGTGGACTCAGGGCTTGCCGGGTGGAGTGAAGGGCTTGGGCGGACCCAGGGGTGGCTCCTCCCTGCTCCCCGTGCATCCATCCCTCAGCCCTGCTTTTCACCTTGCTGTCCACGCCCACATTTCCCAGCCCAGGGGATCTAGTCATTCTGGCAAGCAACACATGGCAAGAGAGTGTGTGGACAGAGGTCCCACTCTCCTTCTGGAAGTGGGGCTTTGAACACGTCGTGCCCTCGCCCACCAGGGAGGCCAGCTCCAGGCACCGTCTCTTCTGCCGCTGTGCCCTGTGTGTGGGCCGCATCCCTGGCCTCGGGGGGTTTGACAAGGGAGAACCGGAATTAGTCACAGGGCCTGGGTAACAGTGAAGAGGCCTGGCTCAGACTCCAGGGCTGCCTGAGCGCAAACTCTGGGAAAGTCCCTGAGATCATCGAGACTCAGTTTTCTGAGCTTAAGAGTGCCAGTGTCATGGAGGGGGCGTGAAGGCTAAAATGTGAAGTACCGCCCTATGTGAGTAAGCGTTCGGTAAGCTGTCAGTCCCGGGTGACGCTGGAGAAGGGGCGGAGGCGGTGGTGGTGAGGATGGTGGGACTGATGGCTGTGGAGGTGAAGACGGCGGTGCTGCCGGCGGTGGTGACGAGCAGGTGGCGATGGAGGTGACAGGGCGACCTCTGTGTGCTTTTCCCACAGGGTCACTGGTGGGGAGCTCTTTGAGGACATCGTGGCGAGAGAGTACTACAGTGAGGCAGACGCCAGGTGGGTGCAGAGCCCTCACACCATCCTGGCCCCTCTTCTCCTGCCCGGCCTTCCCTCTCTAAGCCTGGCTCCTGCCCCTCTGGCCCACATCTGCTCTCGTGAACGTTGTCCCTGACATGGCCCAGGCCGACGGTCCACTGGGCAGAAGTGTCAGGTGGCCCGCCTGGCGGACGCCTGCCCCGTCTCCCCTGGGGTGGGTGGGAACTGGCCCACAGAGGGGCTCTCCTTGGGGTAGCTGGTGGGGGGAGAGCAGACAGAGCATGGCGGTGGGCATCCTCCTGCCCTTCCCTTGGACTTGGTCAGCCCTCATGGTGGTCGAAGGGGACCGACCTTCTCAGAGATACCATCTGCAGTGCAGCTGCTGGGAGATAGCAGGGCCCTTCCCCCCAGAAGGGCAGGCCCCCCGTGACCTGCTCTGGCCCGTGCTGTGGGCCAGATGCCACCCCGACCCGTGACAGGTGTGTCACTCCTGACAGCGCATCTCAGCTTGGAGATGGCTGCGGGCCACCAATCCCGGCCCGCCCAGCTCCCAAGGACACACGCGTTTAAAAGAAAAAGAAAAGAGGCCGACAGTGGCCCTCTCTAGGCGGCGGAGTTACGGATGCTTTTAAATTTTTTAATCTTCTTCGTCTATTTTAAAATTTTTCTTTGACGAATATGTATTCCTTTTCTAATCAAGAAAATGAACGTTATTTTAACAAGTAGCTTTTTGTGACTTGCTTCTGCACCCCCAGGCAACCTTGCCCGTCGGTGACAGCCTGGGTCCCCGTGAGAATATGTGAGTGGGTCCCTGGTGTCACCCGGGCACCCACAGAGCTGGGCGGCAGGAGGCTGGGGGCCTGGCGGGCGCTGGCGTGGGGTGCTGGAGCCGGGGTGAGCTGGGGTGTCAGGGCACTGGCTGCTTTTCTGAGGCTCCTTGAGGAAGGGCTTTCATTTTGCACAGCAGCCTGGGAGCGACCCGTTCCCTCCGAGAGCAGGAAGACTCCATTTTTATTTCCTACTTAGAAAGTAGAACAGAGGCACCTCCTGCTGCTCTGGGATGCTTGGGCGAGAATGTCCCAAGTATGCGTGCCTGCCTGCTGGGTGGAGCCAGAGCCCCAGACCCGGGGTCCTGACATCTGTCAGGGCAGGACAGGAGAGGAGGTCCCCAGTGGCTGCCCCCAGGTCGGGCCCCAGGGCCCGCAGCCAGGGCAGCGCTGGGGCCGGGAGGGCTGCCTTCCAGCGGTACCGGGGCGCCTCGGGGGGCGCTTGCCTTCACCGTCCTCGTCCCACCCCGCCTGGAGTGTCCTGCCAGGGCTCCTCGGTTCTCAGCACCCACCGCTGGGCACAGCCCAGGGCCTGGCAGCCTCCTGCGCTTTGTGGTTGGTGGTCTCGCTGGAGGGAGACGTGGCCCACAGCAGAGCCCCGCTCTTGCCTGGGAGCCCCCAGTGCCTGCCTCTTCCCCATATGCCCGACGGCCACACTCCCTCCCCTGCCACGTCCCCCACGCATGCCCCGTCCCCCCAACACCTGTGTCCTCGGAGCTCCTCCCTTGCCCACTCTCACCTGCCTCCAACCTCATCTTCTCCGATGACCGCTTCTGCCCCCGCCCCCGCGCCCCAATTCTGCGGCTCCCTCCTGCCTGCCCGGATGGCCGGCATCCTGACCTTCCTGCCTGGGCCTCCCTTGTGGAAGCTTTCCTGGCGTTTGGGGCCCCACCCACAAATGCCTAGTTTCCTCTCACAGATTCCACCTTGCTCATAGCCAGGCTACCAGGGGGGGAGAGAGGGAGCGAGGGACACTCTTGGGGATCCCTTCCAGCTGGCCTCACTCGTTAAACCCGCACCTCAGGCTGCCCCTTTTCCCGGGAGTCCTGGACCCTGGAAGCGTGCTTTTGACCTTTGTGTCGGTGCTTAGCCTTCGGGCAGGACGGCCTGAGAGTGACGTGGATGCCCACGTGGGTGGGTCTCCCACGGGCATCGTCAGGAACTGTGGCAGACGGGGTGAAGGCTTTCTCCCGCCCTGGGAGGGTGTTCCCCCAGGACCCCCAGTGAAAGGGGCCTGGGCTCTGCTGAGGCTGGAGCCCTAGATGCCCAGCCGTGGTGGTGGGCACCTTCCCCGCCAGCGTGCAGGCCTGGCCCCCGCCAAATGCGTCAGCCACCCTTCCGGTGGCCTGCCCGGGGCCGTGCTGCTCAAAGCTGAGCGAGTGATGAATTTCCAACGTGTCACGTCTCTAGAGGAAGAGGAAGCAGGGCAGGAGTTGCTTTTCTGAACCTTTTTCTCACCGAGAAGGCTGGAGATTCCTCTGAGGAAGAAGTGGGATCTTTATTTTGGAGTTTGTGGGGAAAAGGAGGGGTCTTTTTCAAACCTGGGAAAGCAAAAAGTTCAAAATATTTAGAGCCCATTTTTAAAAACCCTGAAAAGCAATATGGCTCATGAGGGATGCTTATGGGGGCCCGTGAGAAGGCTGGCTGTCCCAGGGAGGGGGCGAGGGGGGAGGGGAGGAGGGGGGAGGGGCACATCTGAGGTGACAGCAGAGCCCGGAACCATGAGAATAACGTCCAGGACCGGCCAGCGTCTGGAATGCCGCTTGGGAACAATTCTGACCACAAAAGTGACTTTCTGAGTTGTTCAGAATATGAAAAAAGGCCCCACGAGGAAGACGGTGCGATGTAAATGGCAGGCAGAAGGGAGGCAGGACCTCATGACTGGCCAGGCGGCCTCATGTCCTCCAAGGCCGTGGTCTCAGTCGGGAGACCAGGGCGAGAGCAGGGTGACGAGGGCCCCGAGAGCGGCCCCCCAGAGGTCCCTGGAGGGTGGGCTAGCTGGAATGGGCCGCTCTCCAGGCAGGTGGTGTCCACCTGCAGGCTGCAGAGGCCACTGCCACGTCGGTCCCAGAGATGCTGTGAAGAATGGGCCCGGGAGACAGGCGAGCAGCGTTGTCGCACTGGCTGTGGGGAGGGGGTGAGCAGACCTGCACCGTTTTCTCTTGGGGAACGTGGTTTGCTTGGCCAGCTCATTTGTGAGTACTGGGGGCTAAGCCAGCACATCTCTCCATCAGGGCGGCCGCGAAGCGACCTGAGCAGGGCCTGCGGGCTGGGCGGACGGGGGCTGCATCAGAGCTGTAGGGCTGGATTTCAGCCAACGGGCTGAGTTCTGTGATGCTCGGGGAGACATGCTGGCTCAGCAGGAGCAGTCACCCCATCTCTGGCGCTGGTTTGGGGCCCTGCATCCCCAAGAGGAGACGCGGGGGAGGGCAGAGGGCACAGCCCACCCCCGTCTGAGCCGACGTATCAATCGGTGCTGCGGCCGATGGATCCCTGGGTCCGAGAGACGTTTGGGGAACACGTTCCTACAAGGCTGGGCCTGAGGACACAATCGAGAGGAAAGAACCGACATGTCCCTGTGGTCATGGAGGCCACAGTCCGGAGCAGAGACGGACGCTGCCCAGACGCCCACACAGAGCGCAGGGCCGCTGCGTGACTGCAGTGTGGACGACGGGGGTGCCTCACGCTCGCTCGACACGGAGGAGAGTGCAGAGAGCGTCCTGGGGTTGAGAGCGGGGCAAGCTCACAAGGGTGGAGGAAGAAGAGGGGCTCGACCCGAAGCTGAAGACTCGCAGGGCTCTCGGCAGGCCTGAGCTTGGGGCCGGATCGTTCCAGGGCTTTCGGGGAGTGGCCAGTGGCCCAGGAGATGCCAGCCCGTGGGCTGTGGGGGCTGCTGATGCGCTGGAGGGAGGAGCGGGGTACCACGGGGATGGCAGGGCACACGGCACACGGCTGGGACGGGTGTCCCCCGGGGCAGGACCAGGGTCTGGCTGCAGCAGCACAGGCGGGGGCTGGTCTGCCCCAGGGTCCCCGAGGCCCTGTATGGGGTCGGGTGCTGCAGCGTGTGGGTGATCCAGGGACTCGAGGCTGAGCTCCGGGAGGATGCATTGGTGCCCCCAGCATGCCTCCCCAGGGCTCTGGGTTTGCCAGGGAGCCGCAGATTCCCGGGGACTGGGAAAGCCAGAGTCCACTGCCCCGGGCCCTGGCTCAGTGGCCTCAGCTACAAGTGCTGGGCCTTTATCTGGCCTCTGTCTCCACCCAGCAGCCTGTCCTGACCTCAAAAGAGCTTCCCCGACCTCATGGCTGAGCTCTGCCCACGAGGAGGGAAGCCCCTGAGTGGGTCAGCCTGGGCGGCGGGAGGGGTGCTGAGCCCGTGTCTGCAGTCACGGGAGGGCTGGTGGTGGCTGGGTGTGGAGCTGGGGATGCAAGGATGGGGGTGAGGACCACAAAGGATTGTTCCTGGCAGATGAGGACGTTGTGGGAGGGGCAGGAGTGGGGAAGGAGGCACTGGGAGCAGGTCGGGCAGGAGAGCTCAGGGCGTGGGGCGGGGATGGGCTTTCCAGCCCCTAGAGGCACCTAAGGGCAGGGGGTGCTGGGGGACTGTCGCCCACAGGTTTGGGCCCGGCTCCTCTTGACCCCTGCAAACCTCAGGAATCCATCATCAGGATTCTGACTAGGTTTCTGCAGGGGGGAACTCAGGTTTACTTTTCTATGCAGCAGGTGGGCTCCAGATGTGGCCATAGGTATCTGAGGAAGAGGCCTGGTCCCCTGTCCCTTCTCTGAGTTTGCTGTTAGGAAAACGAAGCCCACCCCTCCAGCTGACTTTCAGTCACCCCACAGGGTCCAGCCATGGCAGGAAGGGTCCTGAGGGAGTCTGCCTGTGCATCCCTTGTCCCCACCCAGAGGGGCTGTGGCTGAGACCCCAGGGGGTGAGCTCCAGGGAGCCTGTGGCCCTCCTGTCTCCCGTGGCTGGTAACGCTGCAGGGCTGCTGTGGGAGCCCAGGGTCTGTGCCTGGCTTTGGGGACAGCTGGAAACTTTCCAGTCCCCTGGGGCCACCTGGGGGAGGCAGGCTCAGGCCACAGGGGCTGGGGGCATCTAGGTCTGATGTTCAGGGCACGTTGCTGAAGCACCGGTGTTGGAGGCGCCTGAGGAGAGCTGGGTCTCTCCCTCCAGCCAGTAATACCCTGGAGGGCTCGGGACTTCTCCCGGCTCTGGAAGGAAGCCCCTGGCTTGGGGCCCTGGGCCGTGCCAGGCTGCCTCTTTGCCAGGAGCGCATCCGGGACCCCAGGGCTGCTAAGGAGCTGAGCTGTCTAGCACGGCAGCCAGCAGCCAGTGTGGATGTTCAAGTTTGTTCAAATGAAATGACTCCTGCCCTAGCACATGAGTGACTGGAGGCTGCAGCATTAGCGCTGCCCCAGAACAGGGGGGGGCCCTAGTGGCCAGGGCATCACCCCACACTGCAGCACTGGCCTGCCCTCTCCCTCTTGCCCTCTCACCTCTGCCCTTTCCTGCCCGGGTTCCCCCATCGCCAGCCTGCCTTGCAGGGTGTGGGCTCAGGCCGGGCCTCCCTCCTGCAGGGCGCCCAGCTCAGGTCCAGGCTTGGCCAGCATGAGCCTGGGGAGGAGGGCCCTGGGGCCAGGCGTGTCTCCTCTGAGCAGCACTTCCAAGGGCCTGGCCCGAGGGGAAGGCAGGGTGGGGGGCGCAGGGGGCCTGGCAGGGCCTTGTGCTGACCTTTGGGGGTGAGGAAGGCTCCTCAGAGGTCCCCTCCTGGCCAGTGTCTCCTCTCCCATGTGGCAGGCCGCACCTTGATTCCCTGCTTCCCCGTGGCCCCCTGCCAGGCTGGGGACCCCCCCCAGTGCCACACAGCACCCTGCTCCTGCGCCCCCGCCCACTCTTCGGGGGCCACCCGCACTAACGCGCCTGCTGTTTGCTTCAGTCACTGCATCCAGCAGATCCTGGAGGCGGTTCTTCATTGCCACCAAATGGGGGTTGTCCACAGGGACCTCAAGGTGAGTCCCCCACCACGCTCTGTGCCAGGTGTTTGTTGTCTGTAACTGCATGTTGCGTTTACCAGGAGGCTCTGGGCTGGGGCAGTGCAAGCGCCAGGAGACACTGTGTGCGTGGGACGTGTGCATGTGCGTGTGTGTCTGTGTGTGAAAGTGCATGCATGTGGGTGTGTGTGCGTGTGCATCAGCACGTGTATGAGCACCTGTGTGTGTGCATGTGTGTGTGTGTGTGTGTGTGAAGGTGCGTGCATGCGAGAATGTGGGTCTGTGTGCACATGTGTATGTGCCTGTGTGTGCACAGGTGTATATGTGCTCACATGCACACGTGTGTATATGTGTGTGGGAGCATTGTGTGCACATGCATGTGCGTTCATGCATGTGTGAGAGAATATGTGTATGTGTGCATGTGTGCACATCTGTGTGCGTGGTGTCTGTGTGTGTGCACGCATGCATGTATTTGCACACGTCCCTCCCATCACCTCTAGGCTCCGGGGCTGAGAGGGGACAGTTGTCAAAAATCAGCCTATTAACACGTGTCCACTCGGGGTCTCACTTTCTGGGCTCCGGTTGAGATTCGGACCTGGCAGGTGGGACACAGGTGATGCGTGTGCAGGTGGGGCTGATGCCTCGGGAGCAGGGGCTGAGGGACCAGCCTGCATGGTCTCTGCAAACTTCCAGCCCTTTCTTCTAGTGGCTCTTGGCTCAGCTCTGGGCAAGGTGACCATAGAGCATTTAAAGCAAGGTTTGTCACCCACAGGGCTCAGTGCGGTGGGAGGGTCTTCAGGAGGACTACACCCCACCCTCCTGCCTCCCTCACTCCTTTCCCCCTCCCTCCCCCTCCGCCCTCCTCCTCCTCTCAATTTCTCCTCCTTTCTTTGATTTTAGCTTTCTTCAAGTCTGGGTTTGGGTCAGTTTCTTCTGTTGGGGGGTAGGGGGACCCCTGGGGCTGTCATCCCTGCTAAGAGACCTGCTGGTGGCGTTTGAGACCAACTTTCCCATGGGTGCTCGGGCTGAACGGGGTCACGCCCTTCCTTGGGCCACCGAGGGGTGTGTGTCTGTGAGCTAATCTTTGTGGGGCTGCTCTTGGAATGTTGTCCTGCCAGGAGCAGGCCCAGGACCCTCTCCTGTGCCCTTCACGTTCCCGCTCTCTCTCTGCATGTGCCGTGTGGTCCCCTGTCCTTTCACATGCCCACCCAGGCCCGCCGTGTCTGCCTGTCCTGTGGGTCCCTCTCTGTCGCTGTGTCTTGTCTGAATCGGCCTCATTGGGGGCCTCTGGGAGGAGGGGCCGCAGGGGAGTGGGCGCGCATCCCCCCTTGACTCTGGACCCCGTGATGCATAAGTAACTTTGAGGCCAAAGCAGGCAAATGGAGACGGATGCTCCCCCCAGGCCAGGTGTGCCCTGGGGGCAAACAGAATCCTTGCCGAAAAGAAGAAAAGGGGGCAGGAGTCTGCCAGGTGTCGGGGGAGCAGACTGCCCCTCCTCCTCTAGAGAGGCCTCCACCATCATGACTGAGACAGCCCCCCAGAAGCGGTGCTGTGGTGGGTGTCCTCCCAGCCAAGGTGTGGAGGGTGGAGAGAGTGGAGGGGGCTGATGCCATCCCAGGGTGCTGCGAGGGAGCCAGGGTGGAGCCCGGGGCCAGGGCATCACTGCTCAGACCCAGCTGGCTCCCCTGCCTCTCGCCCCGCCCAGCCCCGACCCTTCTTGTCCAGCTCTTCCCAGGGACCAAGTTCACTTAGCTCCTTCTTCCTGGGGAGGAGTGCTGGTTTGTTTCCTCGGGGTGGGGGTATCTGAGCTGTAGAAGTCAGGTCAAGCCCCCAGCTGCAGTCCCTGACCCCTACGATTTCAGACTTCTTTTTAAATTTAATTTTAAAAAATTGAAATATAGTTGATTTACAATGTTGTGTTTATTTCAGACTTCTTGATGTGGGGTGTGTGGAGAGGTTGGGGTCCCCTTGCCCCACGCACATTTGCAAAATCAAGGTGTTCAGAGGCGGGCTTCCCTGGTGGTCCAGTGGTTAAGATTCCGTGCTTCTAATGCAGGGGGCGCGGGTTCGATCCCTGGTCGGGGAAGTTCCACATGGCGTGCGCTGTGGCCAAAAGAGTTGATGGGACATGCATTAAGAAATAAACTTTAAAAAAGGAAGAAAAGGGGAGTATTAAAAAAAAGAAAGACCAATAATCAAAAAAAAAAAAGATGTTCAGAGGCCTCCAGGCCGTGCTGGGCAGACAGGGCTGAGTGTCCCCAGCGCACATCACCTGCAGGGACAGCACCTCGTCCAGCCAGCTGTGTGTGGGCCTGGAAGATCTGCCGGGTGGGGCTGGCGTACTTCATCTCTTCCACGTGTGTCGTCCTAACACCCCAGGTGTACAAGCGGGGTTAACTCAGTTCGGTTTGTGGTGTTTGTCTTTCTTGGTAGCCCCAAAGTGGCAGTGTGGTCTCAGCGGGCCTTCCCGTCGGGAGGGTGGCCTGGCGAGGGGGCCGAGGGCCCAGAGAGGCATGAGGAAGTCCAGCGTCTTTGAGCTCTGAGCGCTGGCCGCTGGGAGGTGGTGAGGCTGGTGGGATAGGCTGGGATGGAAGGGGCCCAGCGCACAGGGCACAGCGCACAGGGACCCCCTTGGGCCTTCAGGGCCAAGTGTCCCCAATCAGGGGGCAGCAGCCTCGGCGCTCCAGTGGGACAGGGATGAATGTCCTTCCAGCTTGAGCAAGGGCGCTGCTGCCCGACTCAGGGAGGTCTGCATGGGACCTTTCCCACCTGCGGTCGAGGCAGGCCCCCTCCGGCCAGCATGGGGCCGGTGGGACTTGGTGGACAGACGTCCTGCACTGCCAGGCTCTCGGGACCCTCGGTTGTTCCTTCTTGCCCTTTGAGGGCTGCCGTCCTGCCAGCAGCGCCTGAGCGCTCCAGCAGGCAGTTGTCTGTGCAGCCAGCCGTGGTGAAGGGAGGGAAGCCCCTCTGCCGGTGGACGTCCCGGGCCCCTGCACAGCCTGCCAGGGCCTGTAGGGTGCGCTCAGTTTTTGGTCCCAGCGCCCTGAGTTCACAAGCTTGCGCTTTGAAAGCCAGGTTCCCTCAGCTCTGGGGCGCCTGTCCCTGCCCCCCGGGGGTGCGGGGCAGGGACAGACTGCGGGGTGCAGGCCCGGTGGGGCCCAGAGCTCTGGGATACGCCCAAGCCAAGGGTGTCAGCTGCGCTGGGGGGACACCCACGTGGTGGGGGGTCAGGCCTGTGTGCCCCTGTCTGCAAAGCACTATTTTGTCCCCCTCCCTCCCGTGACACCCCCGGGTGTAAACCACACGCTCTCGGGCTGGTCGCCTTCCCTGCAGCCCGAGAACCTGCTCCTGGCCAGCAAGTGCAAAGGGGCCGCAGTGAAGCTGGCGGACTTCGGCCTGGCTATCGAGGTGCAGGGGGACCAGCAGGCCTGGTTTGGTGAGTAGCCGGCTGGCCGGCCGGGGGCCAGGCTGGGGGCGTCAGCTGCCCCCGGGGCCCTTCACACGGCCCTTTCCCCTCCCGCTAGGGTTCGCTGGCACGCCAGGCTACCTGTCCCCAGAGGTGCTGCGCAAGGAGGCGTACGGCAAGCCGGTGGACATCTGGGCGTGCGGTGAGGCTGGTGTGCGGGGCGGGGTAGGGCCGCAGGGCCACTGTGAGGGACTCGCCGCTGGGCTGACTCACAGGGCTGTCCCCCGCTAGGAGCACCCTCTCCACCCAGACTGGAGTCGCTAATGCGATCCTGGCTGTTGCTGAGAAGCCCACCGCCCCAGCACCTGCCCTGCGCTCTGCAGAGCGGTCTGGAGGAGGAGCGGCAGGTGCCCGGGTGATGGATGGATGTTGGAGGGCTGGAGACCGTGCACACCACCCTGGCGGGGCCTGTCCTCTGCGCGGCGGAGGGGGCCGGCCTCGGGCCTCTCCTGTGAAGTAGGGTGAGGGTAGAGCAGAGGTGAAGGAGATGTATATGCCATTCCGCCGTCAGGGTCTCCAAACAGTGACACTTGCTGACGCTGGCTGCGGGGGCCGGGGGGGGTCCCACTGGACCTTGAGGGTCCCGGTGTTCTCATGGGGCTTGCTGGCTTTGGGCAGTGACCCCCACCCTAGCTGATGCTGAGAAACTGGCTGAGGGTCCCCTAGCTGTCAGGCGGCAGAGCTGGGCATATGACCCCCACGCCGGGGGTCACACAGCTGACCCCACGCAGCAGCGCCCCACTGGCTTGTGGCCGCGCTGTGGGCTCCGTGAGCTGGGGCTGAGCCGCTGGGCGCAGGCGGTGAGGGCGGCAGTGCGAGGCCCTGCGCTTGCGGTTCCCCGCAGGGGTGATCCTGTACATCTTGCTGGTGGGCTACCCACCCTTCTGGGACGAGGACCAGCACAAGCTGTACCAGCAGATCAAGGCCGGGGCCTACGACGTGAGTGCCGGGACCCCCCGACCCTCCCCATGTGGGGGAGGCAGAGGCAGGGAGCGGGGTGACGCCACCCGTTTCCAGATGAGGCCCCCCC